ATGGCGTTACTAAGCTGTCGGAGTGGCGAGAGCCAATATTAGGCCTCAGTCCTGTTCCTGTGAGCTGCTGTCGAGGAGAACAGAAAGGAGATGATGCAAGCTATCGTTGTGGAAAATTTGACTTTTGGTGGTGTTCCTTGGGTTGTATCAACTCGGCTCCTAGAGGCAGATCCCTGTGCGCCACAAACCCCTGATCCGTCTTGGGAGGCCACAACAGCGACCCTTCCTCGAGAGGCTTGTCTCTTGATACGAGATAGAATCCTTGGAAATTAGATTCTCACCGGCTTTACACTCGCCCTCCAGCAGGGGCATCCTCTGGGGGCGGCGGGACACAGAGGGAAGTTGAGTTAGAGTATCGCCAGTGTTTCCCACGCCAGTTGATTGTTGGCGTTGAGTCGCCCATCTCACATGCTCGCGACCCCTGGGTTGGTCGTGAGAGTGCAAAAAAAGCTCTGCCAGACCATGGATGGATGCACTTCCTGCGCACAAGAACATAGTCTGCATCTGAGGTTCTTGGAGGTTGCGCCTGTAATCTTCACGCAACCTCGTGCTTCTCATCCCATTGTCGCCAACCGAAAGTGCTGGGATCCAGTCAGCCGCCAAGAAGTTCCTCGTCCATGCCACTGATATCAGGTTCAACCATGCGGTGGGGCTAATGGGCGAGGAATCAACCCAGGATCCTTCCTCCTCTTATCCCGGATTCGAACAAGGCATTCTGCATTGTGAGTTGTGAGTTTTATGGATCTCTGGGCACTTGTGCGTCTCACAGCATAAAGCTCATCGACCAGCCGTTTTCAATCTCTCCATATGTATCAAGGCAAATGTGCACAGGCTTGACTCATAACGGGTGACTGATTTTCTACAACTTTTCTATTTATGATTATCTTTGTTATGGTACTCAAAGACGGCTGTTGCTAGTCCGGTTCGTTCCGGACCCTCCTTTTTTTGCTTCGATTTTTCTTCTTCGCTCTTTCGTGTCCGAAGATGGTGGCGCAAAAACGGCGCCGAACAGTGATACATAATAATGGCATGAAAGAACAGCGGCATAGCGTTTTGATGGCTGACTTGACAAGCACGGGTCCAGGATTGACCACGCTATTTTTGGGCATATTCGGTTGCTTCTTGATGGCCTTCTCTTAACCAACAACCTCTTCAACAACAGACATTCTAACTTGACAGCGCGTTTGACGCACACACCGGATATCGTGTTCTAGCTTCCGCGGAGTTCGAATATGTGGCACCTCACTTCGAACCCGGAGAGATGTGCATCGTGACGGGGATCAACAGGGTTCGGCCGAGGAAGTAATTTTCTGTACACCCTCTGAAAATTTTCAGATAAGTTACCTTTGTTGGTAGGCTTGAGCTTCTAGGGTAAGGCACCTGAAAACGACGGCTACATGCGGTAATTGAGGTTCACTGGGCAGGAATTACAAAACGTTCAAATGCGACATTTTCGTCCCTCATCCTCCTCATTTGGTTGGTCCATCTATGTCACAACATCATGAATTGTTGGTCATTTTTAGCATAGATATTTCCGCTGAGCCAATCTGATGCTGAGCATCCCTACATACAGCACATGCAGTCTTACTCAGTCTTAAGGGGGTCTTTTCTGCCCTGAACACCTCTCAGATCCTGTTTTCCCCAGTGATACGATTGCGCCCACATTTGCAAATAATAATAATACAGAATGCAACCGTGCCTGATGCTCTTTTTTTCTGGAAGGCCTGCTGCCAGTTCTCCGTATATGAGTTTGGTATCTTGCACGGAGGTTTATGTTGGGCACTAGTTGCCCAGGCGGCCCTCCACCGCACGTGATTACCCCTATATATAGTTACCTAGCGATCGCACAATGAGAAGATTAACCATCCCACAGTTTATATCCCCTGTCAAACAATACGTGAGCCGATAGTAGCGAGCCGTCATGAAGTCTAATAATACCAGTTATGGTATAGAACAATCCTGTAATCCGTGAAACGCCGAGGTAGAAGTTCGGGAGATGCCCCCCTGTCGAACTATACCAATAACTGCGTCGTCACCATAGGATTCAATTTCGGCATTCTATGGATACACAGCAGTCGAGCAACGTATCATTAGTGGTTTGTTTCACGCAGACAGGCGAACTCGGGAACCATCACCTCGGCCATATCCATGCGTGTGATATAAAAATGTGGTGCTCTCCCAGAAATGATGAGTTTGATTCGCATTTTAACAGCCCCTTGGGCCCATTCTGGCTACGCGAATAGCTCACAGGATTAAGCTTACAAAATATTTTGGCGAAATGGATCAAACGGTTCTGGGATTGATAATCATAATGGTACCCGGTCAAGAGCCACTATTTTTTTTTTTTTTTTTTTTTTATAGGTTTACATTTAAATAACTCATGATCGTTATCACCATATCATCAAATCTTTAAAATATTTTTAGAACAGAAGAGATAAACTACTTTGTTATAGAGCTCTCAAATCATCTTTATAATACAGTTTATTTCTATATGTACAGTACATACATATACAGTACATTTTCAATCACCTTTACAATATTCTAGAGGGGGTGGATGGTGTAGTGGTAAGCGCTGTTCATGAAATGCTTTCTCAAGTAGGCACTTGGTGTTGGGGCCACCTCTGCTGAGACAAGAAGATAGTGGGTTCAAATCCCATCTTCTTCAAAAAGAATATTATCACATCTTGATGGATATTGGGGGTACTCTTTCTTATCTCATTTTTATTGATAACTGCCACTGCAGGGTGGAGCAATGTTCAACACTATGTATATAGTCTAGATGAATTCAGTATGGTGTGGGATTCTAAGATGTTGTAATTTTTACATGTCTAGTTCAAGTGACAAGGGACTGCTTAGTATTGCATGAGAAATTGTGGGGCAAGGCCCTCCTTGAGGGCTAGATCCAGAATGGTATAGTGAAGTCTCTTCATCAAGAATGACTCGGATATGAATAGAGAAATGTAATTAGAGAGTAGCTGAACATAAGGATAGGCTAGTGAGGTGAAGGCTGTCATAGTCTCAGACTGCATATGACCTTAGAAAAAATATGGAAAAAAAAAAAAAAAAAAAAAAAAAAAAAAAAAAAAACCCATTTTTCTATCTTCTATCTCTGAAGTGTGGATATGATGATATCATCATTAAATAAATGCTATCTTTTTTAAATATCGCAGAAGCTGGATATCACACAGAGACGGGCAATCAACCGGGTAGATAGACAATTGATTGATTGATTGAAAGAGAGTATTTTATATATTTCATTAAAATATGGCAATTTTTCCACATATGAGCTCTGAACATTATTCATTTTTCATTTGAAAATATTCTCAGTATATAAAATGAAATAAAGAATTCAAATAGTTAAATGAATATTATAAAGCTAACTATAAGAATCTAGAGGATTGTGTTAATGTAAATCTCACAAAACTCTATTTTCAATTATAGAGAGAGGAGAGAATCTGTTCAATAAAGGTATAATAAATTTCCGTAGTATTTCCCCCAATGCGGTGGACAGGAAATTTACCTACGGAGAAGCCACAATATGTCTGTTTCTAGAATAAAATTAGACATGCAGTAGGATGGCTACAGAGACTGGAAACCTACTTTCGCAAATAACCGTGGGGAACAGATATCAGGGGCAGCCTGGATGGAAACGCGGGAGAAGGTTCTCTTGCTCCCGGACAGCTCTCTGTTCATTTGACAAATTGTTCGAACTATCGTAGCTCAGGAAGCTTGTAAGCATAATTTTTTCTAAGTATGACAGCTCACACCTCACTAGCCTACCCTTATATAAGTTATGTTTGACTCCTTTCTAATTGGTTACATTTCCTTTAGTATTATTATTCTTGTTCTTCTTCAAAGTATTCTGTAAAGTATATTCAGTCAGGGGCTATGGCATTCATCTGAGTGTTGCTCAGAATTTTCCTAGTTCTAACTGCTTTACTTTACAACTACTCCTTTTCATTTAACTACAATAACTACAGAATTCCACTAAGAATCAATCAACACTTAAAAGACACTTCTTACAAAATCACAATTCACACAAGCTATTGAATAAAAGGAGATTAAAGAATGATAATAGTAAAACAAAAGAAATGAACTAGATAAAATGTAACATTTCTATACAAAAGAGATTAATTAGACGGAGCGAAGCGAAGTCTCCGCAAAGCTTCAGGGAACGAACTTGCTTCATTTTGTGACTGAAATGATTGAATGTCAATGTGTGCAAAAGTGTGGCTTGAATCCCGATGATTTTATTGGTGTAGAGGAGATTTTTACACCCTTGAGTGGTCTACAGATGTAAATGCTGGATAATCTCCATTTTTATTTATTTATGCAGTGGAGACTTACCTTTGACATTGATTCACAATTGGCTTAGATACCCCCTATTCTTACCTCTGAATTATCTGTCTACCTGCCTGCCAACCTACCTGCTTGATATCTGATCAATCTCTATGCAAGTAAATATTGCTGTGTAGCTAGATTGCTAGCTATCTACCTACCCACTCAATATTTAAGTGAGCGTGATGTGAGAAATGAGGACAGAAGTTGCAGCTATATGGGATGATGAGGTGGAAGGCAGAGGTTCTCAACGTCTGGGACGGCGGTCCATGTAAAATCCGTAGATTTCTCATGGAAGCGGGATAGCCCAGAGTGCGAGAGCAGGCAGCGTTTTCTGTTTTATTTCTCTCCGTCTATTTATGAATTTTTTTCCCTTTCTTACTCCTCACGAAATGGATGTATACCTGTGGGAAGAAACCCTTCCATTGTACTAATTATATACCATTATTGGTTGAAGATTATGCTGTCAGTATGAGCTGTGAAGGGGTGGAATGGACCGCAGAGATTTTACATCTCCATACAGGACCAGCCATTGAATCTTCAGGACCTTCAGGGCCATATCTTTTGCAATTTGCTTGCCTAGGTATGTTGATGAAGTAACTCTCACCCTCAATTTTACCATGTTCCATTCTGCAGCTTCAATGGCACTCGTCGTTTTGCATCCGGCAAACAGAGCCATATACTCAGCCACGTCAACCATTATAAAACATTCAAGTCCGCATTTACGTGCATTGTACCACTGACCATAATGGCACGAGTCTGCTGCAATGGAGTATGACCTGAGCTTAACGTGACAAACTGGCAGATTCCTTGAGGATTCGCAAGTGAATGAAACTGGGAAATATCGTGCGGCAAAAGACCCGAGCAATTCCTAGCCAACAACACTTGATTGATACTATCGCTCTGCCTCAACATCAGGTTCCCGACTCATTTCTGGATATGCCTGGCCCATTATCCAGCAGTAGTGAGAGTGTGTTGGCTCCTTCGTCAAGTCCCATGCCAACACAAGCACCCATGCCAACACAAGCAACAGCACCACAGCCGGCACCGGCGCCAGTGCCAGCGCCAGTGCCAGACCTCAATCTCGCGGATCTTGAGCTGATGATGAACTGGTACAGCATCGACATACACCCTTTCTCGACCAATTTAGAATACAAAATTGTCTGGCAGGAAGCACTTCGGCGGGAATCGGCCACATATCCGTTCTTAATGCATGGAATTCTAGCGGTATCTGGTCTTGAGCTTGGACGAAGACCAGGGTGTAATAACGCCTCCAATATCAAACAACAGCTATATCTGGCCCTCGCCCTTGGCCACCACTCTCGGGCTGTGGCTCTATTCCAACCATTGCTAGGAAATATCAATGAAGAAAATTGCAAGGCTGTGTCCCTGCTCTCGATCCTTCTTACTGTCTTCGCATTTGGATCCTCGCAGGTCTTGAACGAAGGGGATGCCTGCAACTCTATCAGCCAGCTCCATCTTGTCTTCCTTCTTGCAAGAGGTATGCAGCAGGCATATTCTACTGCAGCAGATCAGATTAAGGGCGGTGCATTTGATGTAATCATGAAACTAGACAATTACACCCCGTGGCTACCCCACGATGCAATGACAGCGTTACGGAAGCTCGGCCAACACAATAAGAACTACAAACGATACACTGTCCAGAATGAGAAGAATGCTTACGGGGCTGCCATAGGCCAGGTTCAGTTCATATTCAAGCAGGTTCACGGTGGTTCGGCAAGGCCTAATCCAGTGGCTACATGGGCAACAACGGTGCCTCCGCTATACCTGGGGCTTATGAGGGCACGTAGGCCCATGGCACTTGTTATCCTGGCTCATTACTGCGTCGCCCTGCACCACCTTAGGGGGATATGGTGGGTCGATGGGTGGAGTGTTCCACTCCTGCGGGAAATTTGGTCATCGCTTGATGAGGAGTGGAGGAAATCGCTTCGATGGGTGGTTGCAGTGACGAAGTTCACACCTTAGCAACGTTATAAGTTTGCGGAGAGGATGATCGGAATACTGTTCGATGTGCTGGAATATCTATCAACTTGGAGTTTCAACCTCGATCCAGGGCTTTGAGTGGTCTTCAATCCGGAAAATTGGACTTACTTCACAGAAATGGTAAGCACTGTCCCACCATGCAGCTTGTCATTCCTCCCCTGAAAGAACCCAAACCTAATCAAAATGTATGCCTTTTTATAGCACTTGCGATGTTGCTACCATTGCCAATCGCCATATATATTTCTCTTGCCTGAGACGAGAGGGCTGCATTGAAAATTGCATTGAGTGGAAAAAGTGAATAGAACTGAACTGTTTGAAAAAATTAATTTTAATCTACCGAGAGAGAAATGTGGCAGTTTCCCAATTCTTGCTGTAGATACCATGCACTTTGACTATTGTATCAACAAGAGACAAACATCCAATTGATGAATCGATACGAAGCTAAACATTGCCCTCGGCGCTTGACAGAAAAACAGAATTCCCCGCCCTTGTACCCGCGGCCGAGAATGGCGTCCATCTGTATTGATACAATCCACTAATCAAGTGTAAATAAATCCTGGTAGTACGGGCGTACGATAATTTTTAGGTATGTTGTCACTTACGTATAAATATAAAAGTAGCGCAGCTCCCACATTTTTTTTTTTTTTTTTTTTTTTTTTTTTATCAAGTAAAGGGCACAGAGCAAGGAGATCTGTACCAACCGTGTCTTGCACTCCCCCCCTTAAACAGCCGCAACGGTTAGAACAACCACTCCCATAACAACCAAACTATATCTATACTTTACGCTGGCCGCCCAATCCGCTACTTGCAGCCGTTCCGGTACACGACGTTCAGCGAGAGTAGGCTGCTCGAACTGCGCGGCGCGAGGTACTCTGAAGTTGAGGGCGATGTGGTGCCGTATGCGAACACGCCGCGCATTCGCATCCTGGGCATTGTGGGGATGGGGAGGAGATTGCGCTTAGGACGCTGACGGTGGGGATGAAGATACATTACTTTTCGCGGACGAGGAAGGGTGTAGATCTTGAGGCGCCGCTGGGTGGTGTGGTGTATCATCGTTAACTGAAAGGAACGTTGGCAGTAGCGGATTGTGTGGTGCTGGCATGTCCGCATACGCCAGAGACGCATCATATTCTGAACCAGGAAACATTCAGGGCTATGAAGAAGGGCGGGGTGTGAATATTGACGAGGATGAATTAGCGGATGCGATTGAGGATGGAACAGCGGCAGGGCCGGGGTTGGATGTATATCATGATGAGCGAGTGTTTTTCCTTGTTATTTTTTGAAATCCAAAATCTCTTTGCTGCAGCTGCTTCTGGAGGGGCAAGGGTTGCTGATTGTGCTACGTGTGTTGGTACCCATGAGGTTCTCATTTTACAAGGCATTGGACATTTGACTCCGATCTAGCAGTCCGTTTTTATCATTATCCTTAATTTTATTTATTTATTTTAGACTTACAATCACTAATCGATGAATCTTGAGGCTTTCTTCCTCGCTGATGGCAAGCCAATTACGCCTCTCAACCACGTTGAAGAGTGATATTCCCGAACCCTCATAATAAAATTAAGTTAGTTAATTAAGCTTTAACTTTCACTAGTTAGTTAGTTACTTGGAACCATGAATGGTAGAAAACGCCAGGCTCAAAAATTTTTCCGCGATGATGTAAATTTTGCCTGATAATTTCCCCAATACAACAAATCCCGCTTTTTCAT